ATAAAGAAGCCAAAAATCTCTTTTTATTTGGCAGACAAATTTATTCAACAGCCAGCCTACAATTCCGGGTGGCGAACCATCAGGCCCTGCTGGACCGATATAATTTTGATTTTTGGGACAATCTTAAAAAGTTCCAGGATTCCTTTCCTGAGGGTCAGGCTCAGGAGTTCGGCACCCTGGTAAAGGAACGTACCATGGCAGCCAGATGTTCCCTGCAGATGCCATGGAACTCTGCAGCAAGGATGGTCGCATCAGCTGTGGTCATGCAACTCAGCTTCTGGCTCCAGGTGACAGGCCTCTCCCAGGAGATGCAGGCCTCAATTCAGGACCTCCCCATTGATGGAGTTGGGCTGTTCTCTGATCAGATGGACGCCAGGCTGAAGGACACTAAAGCTACCCTTCGCTCGTTGGGCATGCATACCCCGCAGTCTTCCAGAAAGCCATTCCGGCCTCTGCCACTGTCAAGGCCTTGGCAAGCCCATCAGGGATCTGTAAGAAGAAGGGACGCTGGGTTTAGCCATCGCTGCCCTTCTTCCTCCCACTCGCCAGCCAAGCCCAGACCCGCTAAGTACCTGGAGGGCCAAAAGCGATCATTTTGAGGATGCGCTCGGTAGCGATGCCCCAGTCATCCAGACGGATCCTGCCCATCCATTCCTCAACTGCCTTTCTCCCTACCGCTCGACCTGGTCGCAGGTTACATCAGACCACTGGGTCCTGGACATAGTAGCTCAAGGCTATATCCTGCAGTTTTTGGAAACCTCTCCTTCCCGCCTCTTGCTTCCACATCCCTCTTCAGGGACCCCTCTCATGAACAACTCCTGGTTCAGGAAATCAACAAGCTCCTGCAGTTGGGGGCTGTGGAGGTGGTTCCTCAGGAAACGAAAGGAAGAGGATTCTACTCCTGATACTTCCTAATCCCAAAGGCCAAGAGAGGCCTCAGACCCATCCTGGACCTGCATGGCCTCAACAAGTCTCTCAAGAAGTTGAAGTTCTGCATGGTTCAGGGGGGGAGGGATAGCTCAGTGGTTTGAGCATTGGCCTGCTAAACCCAGGGTTGTGAGTTCAATCCTTGAGGGGGCCACTTAGGGATCTGGGACAAAATCAGTACTTGGTCCTGCTAGTGAAGGCAGGGGGCTGGACTCGATGACCTTTCAAGGTCCCTTCCAGTTCTAGGAGATGGGATGGGATGGTCTCCCTGGCCTCCATTATCCCCTCTCTGGATCTGGGAGACTGGTATGCTGCTCTCAATTTAAAGGATGCTTACTTCCATGTCTCCATATTCCCAGGACACAGACGTTTCCTGCGTTCCATAGTGGCCAGGTGCTACTTTCAGTTCACAGTGCTACCCTTTGACCTGTACTCAGCTCCCAGGGTGTTAATGAAATGCATGATGCTGGTAGCAGCTTACCTCAGACGTTCAGGGGTCCAGATCTTTCCATCCTTTGATGAATGGCTCATCAAGAGCAGGTCTCCGGAGCAGGTGCAAAGAAGCCTCGATCTGGTGCGTTCCACCTGCAGCAACCTGGGCCTGTTAATAAACATAGAAAAGTCCATGTTAACGCTGGTCCAGCGCTTAGAGTTTATCGGAGTGGTTCTCGATACCACTCGAGCCAGGGCCTTCCTTCTGGAAGCACGCTTTCAGGCCATGTCAGATCTCATTGCCTACATAAGGAAGCACCCGATCACCACGGCCCAAACATACCTGCGGCTGATGGGCCATGTGACAGCATGCACATACATGGTCAGTCATGCCCGGCTTCATCTGCAACCCCTGCAGACGTGGCTGGCAATGGTTTACGTTCCCAGCAGGCACCCCCTGGACCGAGTGGTCACGGTACCGAACCATGTCCTCTTGTCCATGGACTGGTGGCTAGCCCCCACGTCAGTGCTGCAGGGAGTTCCCTTTGTGTCCCCATCACCGTTGCTCACCCTAGTCTTGGAAGCGTCAGATCTGGGCTGGTGGGCCCTCCTGGGCAAGCTCAACACCCAGGGCTGCTGGCTGCAGCACAATATAGTCCTTCATATCAATGTCAGGGAGTTCAAGGTGGTGCTCCTGGCCTGTCAGGCATTCTTGCCCCACCTGAGAGGCAAGGTGGTGGAGGTCCTCACAGACAATATGGCCGCAATGTATTACATCAACAGGCAGGGCGGCACCAGGCCTTCGGCCCTGTGTTGGGAGACGCTCAGCCTCTGGAACTTTTGCGTGCGGTATGCCATCCATCTGGTGGCCGCCCACCTACTTCCATGGTAAGGAATGCTGATGTATGCCTTTCCGCCAGTGCCATTTATCCACAGGGTCCTGTTAAAGGTAAAACAAGAAAAAGCATCTGTCATCCTCATAGCCCTGGCCTCGCCAGCACGGGTTCGGCATGCTGCCGAGTCTTTCGGTGAACGACCTGCTGCAGTTACCTCTCTGGCCGGATCTGCTGTCCCAGAACCACAGCAATCTGCTGTACCCGAACCTGGCATTGCTGCACCTGATGGCGTGGCTGCTGCATGGCTAAGTACGGATGACCGGGAAGGCCGCCACGTGGTCGTCCATTCATACGTTCATGTCACACTATGCGCTGACCCAGCAGCTCAAGATGACGCTGGCTTTGGCAGAATAGTGCTACAAGCTGCACGATGGTGAACTCTGAGCCCGCCTCCATTGATCATGCTTGCAAGTCACCTAGACTGGAATCGACATGAGCACGCACTCAAAGAAGAAAAACGGTTACCTACCTTTCGTAACTGTTGTTCTTCCCGCCCTCCTGCCTCTCTGTCGGAGTTGTCGGCAAGAAGGAACTGAGATGGTGTGGGCTGGCAGCGCCTGATATACCACAACACGAGCACGGCACTCTAGACGGTGCCACAGCCGGCCCTACGGGTACCACTAATACAAAAATCTCCGACAACCGTGCACGTGGGCACGCACACACCTAGAATGGACTGGACATGAGCAACACATCTCAAAGAACAACAGTTACAAAAGGTAGGTAACTGGTTTTTTTTTTGTTGTTGTTGCAGTTATAGCCTTTCCACAGTTCATTATGTCTGCACACTTACCAACGACAATTTAAACCCCAGTCAGAAATTCCTTATGATTTCAATTAATTCAGTAAAACATCACAAATCACAAGGGTCTTTATAGTGAAGCTCTAATTATAGTGATTAATAAGCTCTAACTCACTGGAAATCAGAGATTTGGAGGTCAAATGACTGATAAAAAGAGATCTCTAACTTCCTGCTGTACATCCTTCCCTTTCTCTGTGTCCTTTTTATCATGCAGTCTTTAAGTATCTATGCTTACTCCTACAATGTACAGTTACAATTTTACTGTGAGTGAGTAATGCTTCAAATCTCTGTATAGTTTACTAATACTTCATTGTATTGCATCCTATTAATCCAACTAATACACTTGTTTACTTTGCTCTTATTACTGTATATTCAGGATTTCATCCAAAAAAAATTAATAAATTCTTTGTACTAGTCACTTCCAATTGTGTAACTTAACATTAATTTTAAGTGGTGCAGCAAGGAGAGTCAGTGACCCTTAAGGGCCATCATTTGTTCATGAGCAGTCCAAATGCAGGACTTGCTGCATTCTGTTCCACTGCTTAAGTTCAGCAGATTAATAACAAATATATTAAGTCATTTTTAAAGATTTAATTACTTCATACAAAACAAATCAAGTGACATCTCAGCCAGGAACACACAAGGCCTGATTAAAGCTGTTGCTGGCTGAAACATTGACCTTTGATTTGTTTTGTTTGCAAGGAAGTAAATAATTAAAAACAACTTCTTCTATCTGCTATTATTTTGATGAACTGAAACTGTAGAACACACCAAGTCCAGAAAAACACATGCACTTAATTTCTTACCGTTTTACCATCAAGGTCAAATACCAAATCTGTTCAAATGTCTACTGTATTCTTTTCTCTAATTTGTGCCTCGTATATTGAGTCTATATATTCCTTATTACAATATCATGAAAATGGCACATAAATATCCCATTGATTTATCATCACCTGACTCAGTAGAAACTGTGTTGATATGATATATTTCTTTCCCTTCCCTTTTTGTGTGCACTAGAGCAGGAGTGGCCAAAATATGGCCTATGGGACAAATGCAGCCCACAGAGTTCTGCAATGCATCATATTGCTACACTCAGTCTAATAGGGAGGCATGTCCCATTGAGAACACAAGTCAAATTCCAGTGCAGCTCCCATTTGGGCACAGCTTGTAGATACTTGCTGTACTGAATGCTAATTCGTATTCAGCTCCCCTTAACATTTCACTGAACTATTTTTTTCTCTTTATAATATAACTCCTGTTAGCCTATTTATATATATATTGTGTCCCTTCTACCCTGTTTCATGTGTTACAACCTCTACAACAGTGGTGGGCACTTTTTGGCCTGAGAGCTACATTGGGGAATAGAAATTGTATGGTGAGCCATGAATGCTCACAAAATTGGGGTTGGGGTGCGGGAGGGGATAGGGCTCTGGTTGTGGGTGCGGGCTCTGGGATGGGGCTGGGGTTGAGAAGTTTGGGGTGTAAGAGGGTGCTCTGGGCTGGGACCAAGGGATTCAGAGGGCGGGAGGGGGATCAGGGCTGGGGCAGGGGATGAGAGAGATTTGGAGTACAGGAGGGTGCTCTATGCTGGGATCGAGGGGTGCTGAGAGCTGTTCAACCAAACTGTAAACTCTGTATACGATGTAAACCACTTCAAACCAGTGGGTACGGCAGCACTCCCACCATCCCCACTGACAGCACCTATGATTTTCTTTGTTGTTGAATGTAAACATTACAACAGATGAAAAGAGAATATGGTCTCCTTTGTTTTTCAAAGAAAGCATCAGCTTCTGAATTATTTTCCAAATATGATTCCCTCTCCAAATGGACATTCAGTGTCATTCAGGAGAGAAGAAGTTTCTTCCCTACATTCTTGATGGAGTTTTCACATTGATTGATTAATATAGAACAACAATCTTCTCTATGCTTCTTATTTTGAATAGGGAGATCAAGGTATTCCAGGGGACAGAGGCCCGCAAGGTGAAAGAGGAAAACCTGGCCTTCCAGGAGAAAAGGGGGTTATAGGACCTGCTGGACCACCAGGAGACAGGGGTTATCCAGGATCACCAGGTCATCAGGGTTCCCCAGGTTCCCCAGGTCTTCCGGTAAGAAAATAAAGTGCTCTGGTTGGTTGCTGGGGGAACCTAGAGAAGTAAACACTGTGCGTTCTGGGGAGCAGAAATGAATCCATATTTATCCAGTACAACTCATCACAAATACTAAAGTTACTTTGAGCTGTGTAATTGTTCAGTTATCAAATGAAAAAAAACCAGTGCAAGCAATCAAGCCATCATTTTTAATTATTTTTTTTATTAGTGTTTTATACCTGAACTGTGGTAGTCTCTGATAGACTGAAAATAGCTTAAGTTCAATTAATTAAATTTTGCTTTTGACAAATTGGATAGATGATTACTCAATACAATTAGTTTTATAAGTGAAGCTTCATAAAATAAAGACCTAAAATATAAGTGAAAGTATGTAAGAAAGAAACACATCCCAACCCTCTCCCCAGAAATTAGTACCTAAAAATAACACTCAATACTTTCTAACACTGCATTTCTTCAGTCACACGCCTTCTGTTTTTTCCTACACACACACCTTTGTGCTCTGAATATTTATTAACTTGGAAGACACAATCATTCAGATAATGGATATTTCACCCTGCTGTGGTTTGAGTTATTCATCGTATCAGCATTGATGATGCTATTTTTGTTATTATTATTTATTTTTGTATTAAAGTAGCTAGTCCCCAACCAAGATTTGCACCTCATTGTGCTACCTACTACACGAACATAGAACAAGAGACAATCCCTCCCGCCAAAGAGTTGACAATCTAAATAGACAAGCAACATACAAAGGGTGAGAATGATAAAATAACATTATTGGATATCTTTAGAAAGTTTTTCACAGATCTGATAGTGACAAATTTGTGCTAAAACATATGACACAAAAACATGCTTATTTTAATGATATAATCTGAAAATGTTGCTGCTTATATTTCATGGGATCAGTAATTGTTCATAATATTATAGTGTACCTGCAATAAACAGCCTTTGCAGCTAATTAAACACCTTAACTTCTCTCAGTGTTTAATCTCCAGCAAAAGCTTTATGTGCTTTCCTTTGTATACTCAATGCAACTACACTATCCCTTGATTAAATTTATCTATTCATCAGCATCAGACATGTTGCTTTCAGAATGTTCTGTTTCCACATTTGTAGATTACTGATGTGTGTCCGCTGTTGGTTTTTCCATCAGGCTGACACAGTTTCATTTGAAGAAATGAAAAAATACATCAAACAAGAGGTTCTTAGGGTTTTTGAAGGTAAGGAAATGAAATGTTGTACAACTAAATTTAAATCTTATCTTCTGTTCTAGATGTTTACTTCCGTATAGTCTTTGTGTACCTTTTCTAAACAATTGTGCAAGAACATCCTTTCTGCTTGATTGACTATTTACACTTAGGTATAATAAAAGTGAAAATCTAATACAATCATATTCAAAGAAATAATCTGTTAACCCGAACATGTAATACAGCTTAACGTTAAAAAACAAAGATTGTTCAAAATGTTAATAGTAATAGCAAAAGTAAAAAAAAAAAAAGAATAGAAATTAAAATTTGAAAAATAATAAATAATAGTTGGAATGTGATACCACAGAGGTAAAATTCCCATTGTCTTCTTGCATTAACTGGACAACGTTTAGGACTGTGCAATTTTATTTCCAACTAATTCAGAAGCTCCCCATTAACTGTGTATTGATTTAAAAGAAAACAGTTCATATACTGTTCTCTTAAATTACATTAACTGCCATTAGCTTTACATCAAAAGCTGCTTCAAAAACAAGGTCGCATTTATTAAATTTAATTTTTTCCCTTGTGTCTTAGATGGTAAAGGTATAGCTATTAAATGAAGGTTGTTAGTAATTATGGGTGGCTTTTAAATTAAGATATATGGTATTTACATTTTTATTCTTATTCTGCTATGCTCTGATATGTAAACTGTGTTCTGTGTTTCCAGATTCTTACATCCTGCTGATTTCTCAGTTTCCCATTGCTTGTACTTTTTGCCTTATATTCCTTATTTTTCTCACAAACATTTTAATTGTGTTAGGGTTATGTAACTTCCTTTACATCTCACTGGAAGACTTTCAATTATGTGCTTTGATTGGTTCATCAAGTTCATTAAGGCACAATTCCAGTCATTCTATATTTATTGTAGCCCTTTTTCTTAAGTAGTGAACCATTGTCCTGCTTGTTTGTTCACTTTTAAAGACGGGTGAACTCATTTGGATAAAATAAAAATATATAATTACCCCAAAGATTAACCCAAAATGCAAATATAGGCCAAACTGCAGCTGGGTTGAGGTTCACTTTAAAAAAAACAAAACTATTTTTCATGTTATACACATCTATCCTTATTGTTTCTAGTCAGGGCTGGAAGCAGAAGCACCAAATAGCATGAATAGCTGTAGCATTTCTGACCTAGCCCAAAGCAGGTAGGGAGGAACTCAGAATGCTAGGATTTTACATCAGTTTGGGGCAGTAGCGGCATAACTCTGAGGTCAATGAGCATGGCCAAAGCTGCATTCAGATTTTTCCATGTCACTGTTCAGGCTCTGGAGCAGATCAGGACATGGCTACATTCTCTTTTCCCTCCCTCAGACTGCATTGCCCATCCCAGAGTGGTCAGCATCTCTCTCTCTCTCTGGCCTTATCTACATCGCAGTTTTGTCACCAAAAGGCAGATTTTAGCGACAGAAAAATGCAGGTGTACACACTGCAATGCCACTTTTGGCAACAAAACTCTTCAGTTTCAGCGACAAAACCACCTTGACTAGAGGCATAAAGCTTTTTGCGGCAAACGTAAAGCGACAAAGCATCAGTGTAGACATTTGTGTAGAGCAAATCATTAATGTGGAATGCTTCTCTCTTCCGCACTATGAACACAGAGGCAGGCAGGCAGCAGGCAGGGTGGATGTGTGTGTGCATGTGAGAGACTGCTGTGCTGTACAGAGTCAGGGAGGGAGGTGGGGGCTGATGTCGGGATGTCCCTCTCCCCCCTCCTCAGGACTGGTTGCTACCTTCGGCTGTCTGTACTTAGAGACAGCATGCCCACACACTCACTCTCCCCCTACACATACTCCCGCAACCCTGGGTGGCGGGTATAATAGGCCACTGGAGGCTAAGTCTCCATTAACACAGGCCATGGCCCTGCCAATGCTCTGCGAGGTTGGGCTGGTGCTTGGACTGGCTGGGCCCGAAGGTTGGGACAGCTGGCGTGGATAGAGTGGGCCAACTGGCAGCTCGGGGAGGTTCGGCTGAGGCTCCTCCAGCCGTGGGGTGGGGAGTTTTGGGCTCTGGCGGGGAGGGCGGAAGGGACAGAGCATGGGCAGGGCCTTGGGCAGAAGGGGCAGGCCCCGGGGGCTACTTCATGCACCGCCTATGCCTTCAATACACATTTCCCACCCTCTCTCTCTCTCACACTCCACCAACACACACACTGTCTCTGTCTCTCCTCCCCCCCCACACACACACACACGTTCCCTATCACACACTTCCCCCTCCCGCACTTCAGTTGAAAAGCAGCTGGCAGTCTAGTAAGATGCCCATGGAACAATGGGATTGAAAAATCTGCATCATGTGATGCTGTGCCTTCCCCATGAGGCATTGCAAACCCTTCCCAAAACACCCTGCGGCCAATTGTACAGTGGGCTAGCTACCCACAGTGCACTGCTCTCTGTGTCAGTGCAAGAGCTGCTAGTGTGGATGCACTCTGCCGACACAAGGAGCACAGTGTGGACATGCAACAGCGGTTTAATTAAAGTGCTTTAATTAAAGCAGCATAACTTTTGGTGACAAAACTCTGCATTGTAGACATTCTCTCTCTCTCACTCACACTAAAGGTTTTGATGGGAGGCCTGGAGGTTGATAAGGAGACACAGAAAGCCTATTCTCCCACAATATAGCCATCCTTGTTTCATATAGATAAAAGGTTTGGATATTTACTGCCACCTGCTAACCAAAGACATCTATACTAATAACCTGCAAAATCTTCCAGTGAGATAGTCTGTCTCCTTCATATTAACTCTCAAAGTCATAGGCAGACATCTAGTTAGGGTTGCCAACTTTCTAATCGCACAAAATCGAACACCCTAACCCTGCCCCTTCCTCAAAGCCCCACCCCTTGCTTACTACATTCCCCCTTCCTTGGTGGCTCACTCTCCCTCACTCTTCACTGGGCTGGGGCAGGGAATTGGGGTGCGGAAGTGGGTGAGGGCTCTATCTGGGAGTGCAGGCTCCACGTTGGGGCCAGAAATGAGGGGTTAAAGGTGTTGGATGGGGCTCTCAGCTGGGGCAGGGAGTTGGGGTGCAGGAGGGGGTGAGGGCTCTGGCTGGGGGTGCAGACTCTGGGATGGGGCTGGGGATGAGGGGTTTTACAGTGCAGGAGGGGGCTGCAGGTTGAGGCAGGGGGTTGGGGTGTGGAAGAGGGTACAGGCTCTGGCCTGGGGGTGGGGCCAAGGGATTCAGAGTGTGGGAGGGGGCTGCGGGTTGAGGCAGGGGGTTGGGGTGCAGGAGGGGGTATGGGCTCTGAGTTGGGGGTGTGGGCTGTAGGGTAAGACCAGGGATGAGGTGTTTGGGGTTCAGGATGGGGCTCTGTGCTATGCCAGGGGGTCAGGGTGCAAAGGGGGGTGAGGGCTCTGGGCTGGGGCAGAGGTTTGGAGTGCAGGAGGGGGATCTGGGTTTGGGGTGGTCTCTGGGCTGGGGCAGAGGTTTGGGGTGCAGGGCCCTGTGGATCACAGCTGTCTACAGTGTTTCCGGTAACAGCTGTGTGACAGCTACAACTTCCTGGGCTACTTCCCCATGGCCTCCTCCCAACACCTTCTTTATCCTCACCACAGGATCTTTCTCCTGATGCCACATAGCATTTGTACTCCTCAGTCCACCAGCAACACGCCCTCTCACTTCCCACTCCTTGCACGCCCCTCACTGACTGAAGTGAGGTCCTTTTTAAACCAGGTGTCCTGATTAGCCTGCCTGTCTTAATTGATTCTACCAGTTTCTTAATTGGCTCCAGGTGTCCTAATTAGCCTGCTCGCCATAATTGGTTCCAGCAAGTTCCTGATTGTTCTGGAACCACTCCTGTTACATTACCCAAGGAAAAGGGACCTGCTTAATCTGGGGCTAATATATCTGCCTTCTGTCACTCTCCTATTGCCATCTGGCCCAACCCTGTGACAATATATGTAAAATAATAATTAAATTTAAGTACACCTCTACCCCGATATAACACGATCCGATATAACACGGGTTCACATATAGCGCGGTAACCCCGGGGCTCCGGCAGCGGGGCTCAGGCAGCGCTTTAAAGGGCCTCGGGCTCCGGCTGCTGCAAGGAGCCCCGAGCCCTATAAATCACCGCTGGACCCCTGCCACTGCTACCCCGGAGCTGCGGCAGCGAGGCTCGTCCCGCGATTTAAAGGGCCTGGGCTCCCCGCAGTGGCCAGAGCCCGGAGCTCTTTAAATCACCGCTGGAGCCCTGCCGCTGCTACCCCGGGGCTCCGGCAGTGGGGCTCTGGTGGCATTCTAAAGGGTTCGGAGCTCTGGCCGCTGTGGGGAGCCCCAGGCCCTTTAAATCACCGCTGGAGCCATGCCGTCGCTACCCCGGGTCTCCAGCAGCGGGGCTCGGGTGGCGATTTAAAGGGCCTGGGCTCCCCGTGGCCGGAGCCCCAGGCTCTTTAAATCACTGCTGGAGCCCTGCCGCCGCTACCCCGATATAACAGGGTTTCACCTATAACGCAGTAGGGATTTGGGGCTCCCGAGGACCACGTTATATCGGGGTAGAGGTGTATTAGCTAAAATTGTTTTAACTATTAGTTATAACTGTTAGCTAGTTTAACATTAAACTTCCGCTGTAATAATGTGTATAGTATATCATATGTATGAGAGATAATCTAGAAATGTATTTAAGCTTCACTTTTTGCACAGTTGTCTCATTCCAAAATAACTATTTAATTGTCCTTTCTCCATAAATAAGTTAGCCTAAAGAGTTATAATGTCAGTTCTTTAGAAAACTACTATGCATGTTAACTGCTTTTCTGCATGCTGTGTGTTTCAGATGGAATTGTCATGTTAACTTCAGTCCTGGGTGTTGAAATATACATTGATACTCTCTTTACTCTTTGACATGTTTTCTTATTTATGTCTCCTCTTTACTTAAGAAATATTAAACCGTTCCTAAAAGGAGTTGAGATATTGGCTTAAGGCAATAATTAATGTATGTTATTTGTGAGTGTTCAGCCTCTGTCATGAATTCCCAAAATATTTGCAAATTGTGAATGTTTCATGAATTTAGGCGAGTTTATTCAGCCATTAATTCTTACTGCAATGTAGTCATTTGCTGTTCTATTTTGAAAGTTAGTTATCTAGTCGGGAAGCAGAAGTAATGCCATGTCATTTTGGCAGATCTCTTCACAGCATGAACGATGATAACCAAATAGTCAAAGCAAACCGTTAATGACAACTCATAGTTTGAAAAATATTTGTAGAAGTTATTCATCACATATATACAAATAGCAGACACACTTGAAAAAATCAGGACTGGTTTATGAAGAATTAATTTACCAAAAAAAGGATTATTAGTCAAAAAAATACATCAATCAACTCTAGCATGTACACTAACTTCTCTGACCTTAATTGTGAATGCTATGCTGTTTGTATTCACAGCTGGCACTAGTTTTGGTGTGGATGTTGAACACCAATAAGGGCTGTTTGTTTGTTTTTTCCTGTTTGAGGAATAAATTAGTATACCCTTAAGAGAGAATTTTCCTATTCCCAGTCCTCAGTGGAAACTTACTTTCCACCTGTACCTTCTCCTTCCTTCCCCGCCTCCCCCCCCCCCCCATCAGTTGGCTCTGCTTGGTTTATGATGGCAGCCTTCAAAGCCCTGCAAAGCTCAGGAATCAAACCTGTCCCTCTAACATGTCAATCCAGGCACTAACAACTGGGCCAAACTTATGCAGAATAATATTTAGTGTGTTACAAGATTGGTGTAAGCCTGTTTCTGTAGTCACTCTGTAAGTGGAACTCCCACCGATGAGAATGGGAGTCCTGTACTTCGAGTGGATACAGGATCAGGCCCTATGTTTGTGTGTTGTCATTCTTGCACAGAAATATTAAAAAAGCAGAACTTGCATGCTATAGAAAGCCATTTGTGCATATGTTTTTCTATGCAGAACATCCAGCACCATAAATACAGTGATTTGGAGTCATTCATATGCCTGGAACCCCACAGTTGTGTTTCAAAATAGAATTGTATGTTGCCTGTTCTCTGCTCCATTTTTCACTTTAATATTTTATTTTCTGCCAATGCGGCTCTTTATTCAAATTATCTGATGAATGGAATTCAAGCCCAGAAATGTTCTGACTTTGAGTTAAAGTTTTGAATCCACAACATTAGAATGAATTACGAAATATACAGTAACAATCTTTGACTACATCTAAAGAGTTAATAAGGCAGCCGCAAGTGGATTATATTGTCCCTAACTCTCCAATTACCATGAGCTGGGACTGGACAACAAGTGATGGATCACTCAAAATTGCCCAGTTCTGTTCATTCCCTCTGAAGTATCTGGCACTGGCCACAGTATATTGGGCTAGATGGACCATTGGTCTGGTTCTCATGTAATATTAATATTTTAAATTGAAAATCTCTGCAGCAGACATGGTTGTAATTAGGAAATTGCCCAACCACCATAAGCAGTTTCTTTGCCACTCCAACAACTAGCCCAAAAGCTAAATCCTAAATATGCCACTTCCAATTCCTGTATCTCAGAGGCAGTGAGCCAGCAAGACTTAGTGGAACCCACATGGTTTTTCTTCATTAATGAAGTCAGCATTTCCTCATTCTCCACACACTGGGAAATGGGTTACTTGCATCCTCCCTGACAAGTCAAGTGTCTGACAACTTTGACTTGGCTCTACTTTTAACTGTGATCACTTTTAGGTTTAACACCTTCAGACACTCCATCAGGTCAGCAAGGTAACCATAGAGGGAAATTCACCCCAGTGCAGAGGTCAGCCAGTACAAGGATGTGTAGAATTTAAGTCTAACTTAAGCCCTGTTTTTGTACCTTAAGTGGAATTATAGATGTTGTGTGGACTCTGCACAGGAGTGAATTTCATTCAGGTTATATACTGTTCTATAGCCATGTATCTGTATACTTCTATCACCAGGAGATGGTGGGAACTGTAAATAATATATATATATAGCAGAATATTAGTGTTAGTGCTTATTCATTAAGTGCTCAACTCTGGGAGGTATAAGCACTCTTGCCATTAATGTCGAAGAGGTTGAAGGTTCTCAGTGCTTACAGGAGTATCCAACACCTTGTAAGATCAAGGTATTATCTGTTTAAATGATTAGCTAAAATTACTTCTGGTAACTAGTTCTGGATTAGTCTGGAAATTGAGGCTGGAGTTTTAGTGATTTTCATACGTTGTGCTACCAAATCTCTTACACATTTTCTTTTCTATGTCCTTTGTTAATGAAGAGAGGATGGCTCAGTTTCTATCCCAACTGAAGCTGCCAGCTGCAATGTTAGCTTCCCACGGTCATGGGAAACCAGGTCCACCAGGAAAAGATGGATTACCAGGGCCACCAGGAGAACCTGGACCTCAAGGTAGGGTTTCTAATAAAATGTCCACAGGTATTGTGCTTTTAGTCTTCGTATACTTGCTAATGATAGTTAAATTAGAACTACATATCTAGCTTCCTAATGATTAACTTTTAAAACCATACTACTGCATTTCCAGAGTAAATCTATAAATTAACCCATAGCAAATGTGTGGTATTTCCTTATTAAAAACGCCTAATCAATGCATTTTATTCTAATAAATGATAAAGTTTAGATACTGACAGATAGCTTATCTAAACCTGCTATAGAAGTGATTTGGTCCAAAACACATTCCCATGGAAGAAAAACTATACCAATGCTCAATTGTAGATCTTAATATATCTGATACCACATTTCTGGCAACCAGGTTATCTCCTGAGAAGCAAAGATTTGAGCTCTAAGTCTGAGTTCTTGCAGCTCTGATCCAGAGACAACACTGATGAGAAAAGACTGAGGGAAAGAATATTCCCCATATAATGTATCTCTCTTACAGTGAAGTCATTTATTTTCACAAAACAGTTTCACAGTAATTGGATTTTCACTATATTCAAAACTGCAAATTGCACAGTGCAGTGCACTGAAACAATTTGGGACTTTGATTCTACTGTACCGTCCTTCACCATAGATTTAGTTTCACAGAAACTGAGTTCATTATAATTGGATTCTCCTGTACTTCATCACAAACCACACTAGCATGGGAAATTAATAGGAAAAGAATGGCAGAAGAATTTATAAAATATATAAAAATGATTTGGGGGTAGTATATAATTTACAGTATATGTATAGGTAGTTCTTTATTATTATCTTTTGTTAGTTTGGTCTGCTCTGGAGTCAGAGCAAGTCAGACTGGAATGAAGAACATGAAAGCAAATCTGAAGATGTGTGGAGTGGAGAGCTAAAAGAAGAGTAAAGACTATTAACACTGATAAGAGCAAACCCTTGATTGAAGCTTGAAAAATGTGATGAGCTCAGAATAAGAAGAACAAACAAGAATAAAGGCTCAAGGAAGGCAATAAAAGGGATTAGAGTTTTGCAACAGTGACTTGTTAATTATCTAAGTATTCAGATCATTGTAAATGGTCAACTTTAATGCCACTGTTAGATTGTTCAATGAGATTGTACATGGTGGATACTCTCAGAAGTAGTAAACTGTAATATGAATTACTTCAAGTTAGTGAGTTTCAAGAAGTGAAGATGGTAGCTATACTTATAGAAAAATTAAGCTTATTTTTGGTGCTTTATTCTTAAGTAAAAGTAGTGCCCCATTGACACAGGATTCCCACATACTTTACCCTTCATTTCAGTACACTGTTTATAAAATAACAAGCCTTGAGCTAAATGAGAGGCATTCCCACCTCTGATGCATAAAAAATAGACGTGTTGATATAAAATTGCACTTTAAAGGAAAGAAAAAGAAAAAGTTTGACCTACCTACCTCTACATCAGTAGTGAGAAACCAAAGAGGACACACAAGCATTAGATGCCCTTCCCTGCTATGCCTGTTCATTTCATTCTTGAGTGCAGGCAACAAAATTTAAAATACTGAACAATCAGAGACAATTAAAAATGTAGTAGACAGACTCTTCAGGGAAGCATGTAACATACATGTATGTCTAGTCTCAGCAAGATAGCATGTTATGTGCATGTGTGTCTAGGTTCAGCAGGGTATGTTCATGTGCACACCTGGTATACCAGAGAGATAATGTGCACTGGATTGGTTATTTTAAACTGTAAACTGTAGTTCTGCCATTGTTTTTTGAGAAGAGTAAAGGTTGCCGGTGCATAAGTGCTTCAGTGCTCAAATTTTAAAACAAAAAAAAACCATTCATACTTAAGAGATCACTAGAACATTGGGAGCAGGTTCATAAAATTTTAATGAAGCCCAGAATTGTTCCCTGCAAGCCTTGACAATGTTCCTATAATGCAAGGAAAAACTGATGTTAACCTCATTGGTAGGTGCATCAGACACAATGTATCAGATACAAATAATCATGATGTTACATTAGGATTGGAGTGAAGTGGTATAATATCAACAAAAAGTTGCAGCACAGATGCTGCAATACAGGACTAGCAGTGAAGCTGTTAGGCTTTATGTAATAGTGAGTGAGACTTTTTTACATTTCTTTTTCATTTTTTAAAAGTAAGTATACAGTACGAATATTGTAACATACCATACCATAAGGCAGTGTTACCAGTGAAATGTAAAACACCAGCTTAATGAGAGCCGTTGGTACCCCGTGGACTTTATTATACTGTAAGCAGAGTCTTAAAGGAAACAAATATCATACACAAATATATGCAATTGATTTACAAGTTATTTGCAGCAGTAGCATTCATGTGAGTCTATATTGTGTTCAAAGTTATAGTAACGGACTTAATCAACTCCATTGATTTAAGTGAGTTTGCACAGGTGTAACTGAGAGCAAGAAGGGAAGGGCAGAGATCTTTCTGTATGAAGCAGTTTGTTTTTCATATATCATATTACACTAGAGCGTAAGCAGTAAACATGATCCTTGCAGCCACAGATTTGGCTGAACTGGCCCTACACACAAAATATCCAGGGGAGATCAGACAGGAGAATTTTGTTCTTACAACTGTTTATGGTATGGTCTCTTGTATTTAAGAGTTCTTTAATATCTAGATTATTTACTCAGTAAAATGCATCAGATATTTTGGCATTGTTGTCCTTTCCCTTCTCATGTATGCTAAAGAGCCTCATATTTCTCTAGACACTACTCTTGTAGCTCCCATGAGTATCAGTGTGGGGAGAAGAGACTCAGGACTGCATACAAAAAATCTTGTTGAAGCTTTTCTGAATTAAATAACTCAGTGACTTTTCTCCTCCAAAATGCTCAGGCATGTAATTGTGCTCTCCTGAATATATACTATTGGATTAGAGTAGTGATGCTGCTGACAGACTATTAATGATGATGATATTGGTGATAGTTAGCACTATATTGAAACTGTATGTAAAATTCCAGTCAAATCAGTCTATGAGAAGAAAACAGCACTCTACCATTTTAGTATATATTTTCTGCACACTACTCAATGTTTACCAAAACTATCCACATATTATACTGGTGGACCTAAATCTTCTGGGTATTTGTTGTTTTAAGAATTACAACAAAATAAAACTTCCAGAACACAATTAAAAGGCTTTAGGGAAACTGTTGCCTTTGTGAGCCTTTTGAATTAAATTAAAACCTGTTACTGAAATTGTAACTCTGCCAACAGAAAATATACAGCATTGTATCTGTGCCTGGGTTTTTTGTAATGAACCTAAAACCTTGCTTAGGTGGATAGTTATATTCCACTGTGCCTCAGATGAGTTTGTTAAAAATTTGCTCAGGTAGATTGTGATATTATCCTCCAGAAGTGTAATCATGGGACCTACTTCTGCATAAAATATACCTCATATAAAATCGACTGTGTTATTGCAAGAGTTAAATACTGGATTGTTTCAGAAAGGTGCTCCAATAATATACTTACATGTTTTTCGTATTGTTCACACACTGTAAAATAAAGCATTATTTTTAGAAAAGTTACCTGAGAAATGTTTTATTAAATGTTGGTATCATTGAAACTTACTATGCCAATATGTACAAAATACTCATTTGTATATGTACTCAAACACAGTTAGCCATTGTTTATTCTATTTTCACTCATACAATGTGCCTTGGTGGACTGCTGTATATATTATTGGTTTTGAGGGTTTTTTTATTATTGACTTGAAATTCAGTAATGTTTACAGAATTTGTCAATCTGCCTCAGTCCCTTTCTAACCACCTTATTATGTACACATGATACGTTATAGAGATTGTAAACATGATGTATTTTAAATGTGATTTCTTTGTGCCCCATGCATATAGAAATACAAAACATAAATGATTAATGGTAGCACTGTTTTGTTAAAGTATAATTAGCTGGGTTTGTTCTGATAAACTGTACTCTAACTACTAATTGTAAAAATAAGACGCATAGAGGTATAATAAATAGGCAATGTAATCAGCTTCTTAATTATGTGATTGACCTTCACAAACAGTAGCAACTGCAATGAATTGCACAAAACTTCCATAGCCAGCTAACTTATATAGTCACAAATACTGTTAATCATGGCAATTTAAAAACAAATTCAAGATCCATTACTGAATATAAGCTCCTTCACCTTTCCTATTGAGGGTTTCACAGTTGTGTGTGGATGTCTTAGACAGTTCTGTTTAATGGGGCTCAGCCACCAGAATGCACGGCTGATGTAAAGAGAGGTTTTTTTCTCTCTGAATTATTCAATTGCTTGTTTTCTTTGTAGATACCTGCCTGTTTTTTGTATGTCACATTGCATGCATATTCTACTGGTTGGGATTTTACGTACTCCAATTATCATTTCAGTGTTGAAGGGGAATGTTGGGATGTTGAGAGAGGAGACTAAATTACCAATTGCTGCTTTATTCTGAGACAAAGGATGATGGCAATTGATAATAGGTTTTCTGTTGAAATTTAAGATGATCTTGTGTTTAATAGAAAAATTGTATGAATCTGCATACCATTCTATTGTATAGTTTCATTTGGTGCCCACAATAGTTATATGTCCTCCCATTTTCTTCTTGAGTTGTCACATGAAGTAGTGTTGCCATGTAGTACTGCTAACTGGCTACTTCGGCCATACAGCTGCCAGTCCCTTTATTGTTCAGATAACAATTGACTCAGTGCTCATTGGTCACCTCACAATCCTTCTCTTCTAATTTTCCTCTCATTGGGGGACAGCTGCTCCACAAAGGAGCAGCTTACTTGACATAGTAAGACACTGGAAATATATTGGTACCTTATCCACAGCAAATTTAATCTTCTCTGTTGCAATTCTATATTTAACCAGGGATGGAGCATTAATTCTTAGTGTATGTCACCACCCCACCCACTTTTACTCTTGCATGGAGGAGGAGGAATGGGCCTCCCAAAACACCTTATAAAAGTTAAGTGTTGGTGTCAGATTTATTATTCCTCTTAAATTATATTTATTTCCCATCAGTCATTTTGCTTTAATGTAAAAGTCACAGGCCTATTTTTTGACTATGAGGTAAATTGTAAGGAATATTATTATTTCAGTGACCCTTGTACTGCTATTCTAAGGACATCCAGAGTTTTCCCAGCTGAGACAACTTGACAACTTGCCAAGAAATAGGAGGGCTGAACCTAATTCTCATGCAGCTGAGGGCTGAATTTGTTTGCATACAATTGAACAAACATAACCACTCATCTTCAGTACAGAGTAGTGGCCTGTGCAGAGCGCAAATCCAAATGTGCCATGCATGTGAGCACTAGTCCGTTGCATGCTGGAACCTATAATCTTCACAGGCTCTAACAACACTGTATTCAAAGTGAAGACAGCTGTAGATGTACGCTATAACTAAAGGGCTCCTCCCCCGCCTCCCATTTATATAGTGGCATAGCTGTGCATAGTACTTTCCAAACCCTCAGAAGGATGTAGGCCCCGCCCAAAAATCTTACCATCTAAAATACACACATAATACAAATGATAAAAAATTAGATGCAGTAGCTCCTGAGAGATGTTGAGCTACTGGTGGTCAGAAAGTTGACTACCTTGGTATATAAACTATCCTCTGGCATTCTATTCTATTCACTACAATGAGCACATTGTAGCGAATTAGGTTAGTTAAACAGACTGTCAAGTCCCATAATCTTTCTTTAGATACATCATAGGCAGGTTTTTTACTCTATTACATTTAAGTTTTTTGTTTGGTACCATATATCATTTCACCCTGTGGTTAATATTGAAGCAGGATATACGTTCAGTTTTTTTATCCTGGAGTCTTTACCAAAGTAGCAGAAAATCTTTGGAAAGGGTGAGGCCAATTGATCCATTGATGCTCTTCTGTCTCAGGATCCATCAGTTACTGGTAGAAATCTTCTCATGTGTAATAAAAGGAAGGTAAATAGTACAATAGCTGGATTACCAGCCTCAGAAAAAATGGGCATCAGTTTTCACGTTTGTTTTGGTAGCTTTGTGTCAGTAAGGTGCCTAGAAAAAAGATAGTTATAATTACTGGGCACTCTTATTCTTTTTATCTTTTTATCCTTTGTAGGTTACAGAGGACAGAAGGGGGAAAGAGGTGAGCCTGGTATTGGACTCCCAGGTAATCCTGGTCCACCTGGCCCTTCAGGTAAATGTCTCTAGCTTTATTGTTGTATGCAGTCTTTGGACGTGATTCTGATCTCACACCAGTTTTATACCAGTGTAATCCCATTGATTTTCATAAGGTAACCCCTGATTTTCTTTGGTTTGAGGTCAGAATCAGACTCCATGCCTCTTGCTGTTTAGTTGGTGCGAAGGAGCAGGCTTTTGAGGATACCAAGAGGCTCATCATTTGCACAGTTATGATGTCTGTGCTAATTGCGATCTTTATTTTATCAGCCACTGGTGTGCCAGGCCTCCCAGGCCCTCCAGGATCACCAGGTCCCCAGGGGCCTTCAGGGCCGAGCGGAAGGTGCAACCCAGCAGATTGTTACTATCACGTATCTCAGGCTCGACAGCGTGCCAGTGGGAAATAAACATCCCTCCAGAGACACTTTGGTTCATGTTTATACCTTATTTCCCTTTATGAATCAATTTAATCTTCATAATACTTAGTGCATTTTGTCCATATATATACTGCACAATATATAGACATTTTATAGAGCACTTATATCGAGCCTTTTACTACATTAATTGCTGTGTTGGAGTTTTGATATGATTTTGTGAGTTCATTCCATGTGTTATACTTTTACTGTTTCTCTGGTTTAGAGAGGCAACAGGCCCAAATAGTTCTTATGAGCTTTTCTCTTCAAACAAAATTTATTTTCTTACAACTTGATGATCTTAAGACAGTACAGATTTTTTCAGTCTTGTTAATACTGGTTTTATTCATCTTATTACAGAGTGAATTACAGTTGTAGAGTTTTTAAATTCACATGTTCACACTGAAGTTTATTTTCTTAGGTAGGGTGCTGGGGAACTCTGTTCATACCAAATGTTACTGTTCACTTCAGAAAGTCATGGCATAGGTTTCCACACCCAGCTGACCTATGCTTACAAAGCACACCCAGGACATTCAAGCTCGCTTGAATTACTTCTGTGGAGCCAAAGGGGGAGATGAAGATTTTGTTATGATATCCTCTCTACCCTTGTGCACCATATTGCTGGATTCAGACTGTCTAGAAATTTATCATATCTGGCCAATAAAGGCATTTCCTATCACTGAATGATAATCCAGTTCAGAACTGGCTCATTCACTTAACTTCAGGTGCATAAATCCAAGATAGCCAGTTGTTGGGGGTTTGGCTTTATTTTTAGCTTGGAACTAAATTAGTGATGGCACATCCTTCAACAAATAGTTATAACCATATAATATGTGGTCTCCGAGTTGTCTACACTCAAATTAATCTGGTAGGCAGGCATTATCCCTGCTTGCAATGTAAAGACCTTTTACTTTAGAGTGTAGGTACTAGACAATGATAGGGTCAATGAGGCAACCTTTAAAACTCAGCAAGTGGTACCCGGGCAACATGTATTTCCTTGATTACCTCATTACACTAACAGTACGGGCCAAAAAAGGATATCTGTACAGGGACAGATTAGAATGCAAAAAGACTAGTTGGATGCCACAAGACGGCTTAGAAACATGTGAAAATCACTTTGGAAAGGCATCATGGAGCATAACTGGATACCGTTTCCAAACACTTTGTGTGACTCTTACCATGGCAGACGCTATCACTAGAAAACAAAATAGAATGAAGTGAAATGAATCCTACAGACATTTAAGAAGTGGATCATTTAGCAACCGGTCAACAACAATGAATAAAATGTTCAGTCTTGCAGGGCTAATGAAAAGAGGCTTTTTTTCTCCCCAAGATCCCCTCTGGATTATCTGAAACAGATGAAGCCAGATCATCTGAGTATTAGCCTCATTCATTCCCTGGGATAGATGTAGGGTTACATGACAAGTTTTATAGTTTCATAGAGTTTAAGACCAGAAGGGACCTTCAGCTCACTAATCTCACTTGAAACTATCGTGCTAGAAACTGCAAATGTAGTTGTAATCAAGGACCACAGAGTAAATCGGTAGGGATGGTGGAAAACAAAGCTCTATCCTACCAGCGGGTTGTTAGTGGTTCTCTTGGATTGTGCTCAGCTAAGTGGTTATATACAGTATGAGCTAGGGGAGACAGAATTTCTTTATCCACAGCTATCAATGGATCATTGCCATATCTTGGCCTCTCGGACCTCAAAAGAGACATCCAGAAGAATTTTTCTTTTTACTATGCAAATGGGTATTAGAGAAGCTGAAGTGTGTATGCCTTCAGAGAACCTACAGTGAAAATGAAATTTGGTTTGAATAGAGTTCCTAGCAAGTACATCTAGATTGAGACAGATTTTAAAATGGGTTGCTTTGTTCAGATGCACCCATGACTGTATGGTTCAAATTCTCTTCTGGCATAATTCCGTTGAAGTCAGTGAATTTATACCAGCAGAAAAATTGGCCATATATGTTTTCAGTTTAGTTACATGAACTGCTGGTCAGGTATATTGCATGGGTTTTTTTTTTTAAGTTGGTTTATTTGTACTTCTCTAGTGATTCCAAATCTTATTTAAAATATTTTTTTAACTTTATAAATTAATTTTAAACTTCACTTCCTTCCTGTGATAATACCAAAAAAGGGTGCTGTCTTTTAAGAAAGTGACATGATTATTTCTAGAATGCTATACAGAACAGTGTATATAGATATATTACTTGGTGTTATCTGTATATTTTGGGCATTTTCCTGGCTGAACTACAACTCTGAAAGCTTGTAACTTACCTAGCCTGATTTTATAAATGTTAATTTACTTGAATTTTAAAAAGATTATTTTTTCATACACATTTCCAACAGGTGCTTTTTTCCCCCCTCATTTTTGACTCATTATTAGAGTTTTTAAAATCTGTATCTGAACATTTTGAAGTTCTCCATCAGTAACTGTGTTGGTAATGATTAATTTATTTCACACTGTCTTTTTTGGTTAATGATTTTTCATTTTGATATAGACCCAATTTAATTTCTCATGAGAAAAAGAGTGTTTTGTAATATCAGGTACCTGTATACCATTTCCAATATGCTGAGCCACATTCTGTGTTTGGATAGAATGGCATCATTCTGGATTAACTCTACTTTTATACTGTGTTATTTCCATTTTACATGATTAGAACTGAAAGCAGAATGTGGCCTGAAACATGCTTCTCATTTGGCAGGCTTTATCTTTAAAAAATTTTTTGCAGTTTCAGATTAATGTTTCCTTGATTTATACCTATTTTGAGGATTTTACTTTACTTCTTCAATTTCATTTATATGTTTGTTAACAAACGTGTGCTATAGTAAATGTTGCCTAATACAAGAGGATTATCTTTCTGAGAGCACAAGATATTTTTCTGAACTAGGATATTTTTAGCTAGAACAATATTTAGAATTGAAATATGATGAGATATAATATTAATAGGTCCTTTAAATTGTTCTAGATTAGTTTTGAGATATTTGGAATATACCAGGACCAGTTTCCTGTATTTCTTATCACTTAAAATCCTACTGTCCAATATTTATGAAGATAACTTTGGAATTTTCTTAAAGTGGCTGGTATATTTGGAACTGTTTAGATTTGCTTCAGGAAAGTAATAAAGCTGCTGTGGCTTAGTTAATGTCAAAACCTTTCAGAGTTATTCAGAGCCTATGCTATATACCTCCTTTTGTCCACATGGTGGTACTCAGGACACTTTTGTTAGTGCAAAGGATTGAACAGAGACTGAACTCTAAAAATGGAAGGCAGGAAACAGTGCAGTGTAGATATATTACATCTTGTGCCGTCTTTCCACTTTTATCCTTGAGCCTAATATATTTTTTCTAAAATTTACAGTTTGTTTTTAGACAGCAGTGTTTGCAGAAATACTGCCTTTATTGGATGAATATTTCCAGATTATATGACATAGGTTTTATTTATGTTTTATATATGCATATAATGCAGGAGATTGTACAGTAAGAAAACATGTCACTTCTATACATCAGTTTATCTCCACCATAAGGGTATGCATCTTTAAGGGAGCGGTAAGTTTATTGGAGTATTGAGTAAATCGTAGAGTAGGGTGCTTTTTAAAATCAAGTAGCATTGCAATCTACTTGTGATCTTTTACATTAAAGTTTTTAATACATGGATATTTTGTATAAATAAACTGTATTTAATTTCAGTGGTAAAATAAGCACATAGGTTTCTGTAGTATAGTATTAGGATTGGTTTCCCATGTTATCAATCCTCCCTTTGTGTTTTCTGATCATGTGTTATTGACAAATATACATGTTTACCTGATAGGTAAGGCTAAGTGTGAAGTAATTTCTTAACTCACTGATAACCATTTCATAAAATATTTTAGTGCTTCTGATTGTCAGGATGGTGAGCTATTCCTTTTCATGTCAGCCGGTGCCCAGCTTTATGGAATACATCATCTGTTTCTTTTCTTTGGCCTTTTTATAGTATTTCATGTGTTGTCTGTAGTGTTACATAACAGTTGTATGAAGAAACATGATCTAGATGGTTTATATTATATACACATCTGTTTTTCAAACATACTGCAATGTCATCACATCTGTTTTTCAAACATACTGCAATGTCATCTAAGGTCTTTAAATTTTATCTATTTACTAAAATGACTGCTGTGATATAAAATTGTTTTTGTTCAAATAATAGGAGTCTCAGAAATCAAAATTAAAGTTGACATTAATTGTTACTGAATAATTTTTACTTCATATTCTGTGTATATCAAGAAGCATACATTTATCTCTGAAATGTGGCCAAAACTAAAATAGATCCAGAAGTACATGATATCTAAATCCAGCTCCATCTACCATGTTTGGTATGGCTCATGAAGGCTTACAAATTTAACTATCTTTGCCTAAAAAATGTGTGGTTCAAATGGAAAATCCAAGCTTTATCATACCATAAGAGAATGTGTATAACATATGGTATGCTAACAGAAATGTTATGTGTTAATAGACCAAAACAAGCTCATACATGTAAAGAATGTAATCTACAAAGATTTTGAGACTTATCTCAGAAAAGTGATGCATTTAATTACATACTGAATTTTTCACTGTAAATATATTTTGTCTCAGTTCATAGTTTGAAGAATTTGATGATGCACTGTATTTTATTGTTGTATTTCATTTTCAAATAACATTTAGCTGTCATTGAATTCATCATGGTACATGCATACTGATAAATAGAGCCCTGAAAATCTGCAGATATCCGCGGACTATGTTTGCAGATCGTGAATCAGATGCGGATACAAATTTTGTATCCACGCAAGGCTCTAGTGATCAATATTATACTTCTTGGCCCCATTAATTTTTTCTCAACATTTAAAGTTCAATTCAGTGCATACATGTTAAGTGGATTACAAGATATTCTTCACTGCCTTGTACCTTGCATGGTCATTTACATCTGTGTCAGATCCTACCAGATGAGAATGGTAATGGTTTACACATTTCGTAGATGTGACAATGATAACACAAAGTTCAAAGTCAGGTAAAGCACAAAAGGGACGATTAAGGCCAGGTTCAGTGGAAGAACCATCGACCTAGCTACCGCCTCTCAGGGAGGTTGATTAACTTCAGCAACAGGAGAACTTCTCCCATTGCTGTAGTAAGTGTCTACACTGAAGTGCTACAGCAGCACAGCTGCATCAGAGTAGCTGTGCTGCTGTAGCAGTTTAAGGGTAGACATAGCCTCAGCCACAAATGAGTAAATTCTGGTTTTGCTTTTCACTATGGCCAGTATTTTCAAATGTAGTTACCTACGGCTGGATATCTGGGCTGAAATCACAGCTTCATTGAAGTCAATGGGAGTTTAACTTCACCGTAGCCAGGATTTCACTCTTAATCTGTGTATAGACATCTCAGTGTGGACTGATTTTTCAGAGCTTCCATTGACTTCCATGGGAACTGAGACTCAGCCCATCTGAAAATCAGATAATCCTAGTTAGTTGTCTAAATATGGGTTAATGTAGGTGCCTATTTTTAGATACCTGCATTTGAAAATTTAATATAAATGTCCAACTCTCCCATGAGGAAAAGAGCACAGGGGCTAGATGGAGTTGAAAGGGCACTAGGCAGCATTTTGACCAGTAATGATGATTTTCTTCTCAAGATAAAGTTAGCTGCCTCAGCAAGCTCACTGCACCTATTGTCTAAGGTTTTCAGTCTTTATCGATAATTTCACAGAAATGCAGATTACGGCAAGGTTTTCTTATTATAACTATAATCAAATTAATGAACTGAAAAATAAAGGATTATGACAAAATTAAAATGGGAGTGGAAAGGGCCTTGCAAAAGAAGAGAACTGATGTACATATTGTCTCTCTTCCTTCTCTTTGTTGCCTGTGGCACTGTAACAAAGAACATAGTGACCTTATTTTAAGCAACAGCTTAGAGAAAGGAAGCAAAGAACCCATGACCAGTTAATAATACCAAAACCAGGGGCATCCATCATCTCCTTGACATATCCAGTCATCAGGTCAAGGTTTCATGCAATGACTCCAGCAATTAAAAACATATTTGTATGAGTGATATTTGCTTGTACCATGTAGCATAACTACTAGCTGCTACCAGGAAAAATCCTTAATGTCTGTGAAACCAAGGCATGGAGTCCATTGGTCCAAAAGGGCTTAAGCACCTAAACTGCCACTTTTTGTACCTAAATCTCAGAAGCAGGGCCCTCTTCCTCTTCCCATCCCCACACCCATCTTCTTGCAAAAATGGCAAGGCACCTAACCTCAAGAGAGGTTTTGCAGCTGAGAAATCCCACACAGAGGGAGGTACCTCCCTTCAGCCCAGAGTTAGGCTGAGAGGCAGGGCTTAGAATACACACTTCTTCTTTACTTCTCCTATTAGGTAGCTTTGGTGAGCAGCCACATAGCACATTGGCTTTTGTGAATGACATTCTGAGGCACCTGACTCTCCCCATTCATTGCACAGGGAGGCTTTTTGAATCCCAGTGATTTTTTAGGTATAATGAAGCTGAGCATCACCATACCTACATTTTTTATGAATCTAGTCCATGATTTCTCACTCTGTCTCTTTCTTCCTGACAAAGTAGCCTTGTTTCATCTAGTGCCTCTTTCCTCAGAGGGAGTTGTAGAGTGGTGGCAGAAAGCCAAATTCCACTCGTTTACACCCAGGCAACCTCAGATCCAAGAAATGAAATATTTGCAACACTCAAAATCTATACTCTCTAGTAACCCAACTATCGAGACCAACTATAAACCACTTCTAAAAATAAAGCATCTGTAATCAACTGTTAGAATCATAGAACAATAGGATTAGAAGGGACCACAAGGTCATCTAGTCTAACCCTCTGCCAAGATGAAGGATTTGTTGTATCTAAACTATCCAAGACAGATGACTATCCAGCCTCCTTTTAAAAGCCTCCAGTGAAGAAGCTTCCACAACCTCCATAGGCCGTCTGTTTCATTGTCCTACTGTTCTTACAGTTAGGAAGTTTTTCCTGAGAGTTAATCTAAATCTGCTATGCCTCTTGTCCTGCCCTCTGTGGCAAAAGAGAACAACTTTTCTCCCTCCTTTTTATGGCAGCCTTTAAAGTATTTGAAGACCACTATCATGTCCCCTCCCTTTATCTCCTCTTTTCCAAGCTAAATATACCTCCTTCAGCCTTTGCTCATATGACTTGCATTTCATCCCTTTGATCATCTTTGTCACTCACGTCTGGATCCTTTCCAGTTTCTCCACATAGTTTCAGTACATTGGTGACCAAAACCGGATGCAGTACTCCAGCTGAGGCCCAACCAATGCCGAGTAAAGCGGTATTATCACCTCCTCTGACTTGCATGCTATGTCTCTGTTAATGCGACATAAAATTGCATTTGCTTCTTTTGCAACAGCATCACATTGCTGAGGCTCTGTCTACACTACCACTTATGTCAGTATAACTTTGTCATTTGGGGGTGTGAAAAAAAATCCCCCTGAGCGACGTAAGTTACACTGACATAAGCGCTGGTGTGGACAGCGCTATGTCGGCAGGAGCGCTTTTCCCATCAATGTCGCTACCGCTGTTCATTGGGGGTGGATTGGGAGCTCTCTCCCATCATCTTAGAGCTACTACACTAGACAGCTGAGAATGGTGCAGTTGCATTGGTACAGCTGCACTGCTATAAGCACTTAATGCTGGTTCCACCAAGCCCAAATTTCTCGAGCCTACTTATCAGAATGTCTTGTGGGACTGTGTCAAAAGCCTTGCTGAAGTCCAGGTATATTATTGCAACTCTTAAATAGCAATGGAAAAAAAGCATGTGAATCATTCACACTGAATGTCTTTTAGATAAGTGTTTGAAAAGGGAATGACTGGGAGCACCTGTGCCCAACATCTTGTGCCTCATGCCCTGACAGTGGAGAACCACTGATGCATCTTGGTGCGATTGCACATGCTGCAGTTCTTCAGCTGATAGCCTAATAAGTGATACATCAGACTAGACATATTAATTGAATTCTGATCTGAATGTGATGAGTTGATTAATCATAAGCAGGTATTACATTTGTATTTAACAGGAAGCAATATTTTATTGCTGTTTCACATGTTGATAAGGCCTCAACTGGAGTATTGTGTCCAGTTCTGGGCACCACATTTCAGGAAAGATGTGGAAATTGGAGAAACTCCAGCGAAGGGCAACAAAAATGATTAAATGTCTAGAAAACATGACCTATGAGGGAAGATTGAAAAAATTGGGTTTGTTTAGTCTGGAAAAGGGAAGACTGAGAGGGGACATAACAGTTTTCAAGTACATAAAAGATTATTACAAGGAGGAGGGTGAAAAATTGTTCTTGTTAAGCTCTGAGGATAGAACAAGAAGCAATGGGCTTAATTTGCAGCAAGGGAGGTTTAGGGTGGACATTAGGAAAAAGTTCCTAACTGTCAGGGTGGTTAAGCACTGGAATAAATCGCCTAGGGTTGTTGTGGAATCTCCATCATTGGAGGTTTTTAAGAAAAAGTTAAACAGACACCCGTCATGAATGGTCTAGTTATTACTTAGTCCTGCCTTGACTGCAAGGGACTGGACTAGATGACCTATTGAGGTTCCTTCCAGTCCTACACTTCCGGGATTCTATGATTCTACACTTAACCCAGAGTGCAGTAGAGCTAATTGTGCTATTTCTCATTATGCAATCAGATTATAGGAATTAATGTAGATGCCATCATACCCCTAGTGACTCCCATTAGGCTTAACTCACACTATTGTGCCAGAGATTTGGAATGAAAATCAAAGATAGGTAATGTCAGCACTTCTTCAGCTCTTTTCTTGTTAAGAGTCAATGAACTTCCATTTGTTTTGGGCGATATCCACATTATAGACTCTGCTTAACAGTGACCCATGTCACTTCTTCTTTTCTTTGTTTGCTTGTTCTTTCTTGATATTTCCACTTGGATTCGTATATACTGTGACAAATTTCCTCCTCTACCTTGGTAGGTCCTGCACTTATTGGCAGATTTCCTTGCCTCAGAGATTCACCATGTGGGTTGGGGAACAGCCCAGAGACCTTCCCCTCTGGAAGAACCCACAGTTCAGGTCAATTGGGAGGTTTGGGGGGAACCCAGGCCCGCCCTCTACTCCGGGTTCCAGCCCAGGGCCCTGTGGACTGCAGCTGTCTATAGTGCCTCGTGTAACAGCTGCATGACAGCTACAACTCCCTGGGCTACTTCCCCATGGCCTCCTCCAAACACCTTCCTTATTCTCACCACAGGACCTTCCTCCTGGTGTCTGATAATGCTTGTGCTCCTCAGTCCTCCAGCAGCACACCCTCTGAGCTCCTTGTGCCTCTTGCTCCCAGCTCCTCACACTCACACCACAAACTGAAGTGAGCTCCTTTGAAAACCCAGGTGCCCTGATTAGCCTGCCTTAATTGATTCTAGCAGCTTCTTCTTAATTGGCTCCAGGTGTCCTCGTTAGCCTGCCTGCTTTAACTGGTTCTAGCAGGTTCCTGATTATTCTAGTGCAGCCCCTGCTCTGGTTACTCAGGGAACAGAAAACTACTCATCCAGTGACCAGTATATTTGCCCTCTACCAGACTCCTGTACCCCACTGGTCTATGTCTATCACAATACACATAGATTATATATGGTTGTCATCTATGTATATTATGACCAGTAAGACCTCACTCCATGTTGTATATACTTGACTATTCATGGGACTGAGGATTTACTGGTCAGTTTTATTTTGCTTTTTAAACTAGAAATTCATTTTCAAGTTCAGCTCCAAAGTAGAAATTCTGCAGCAAAATCATAAGTTATCCACTTAACTGAAGTTTGCATTGATTTGAACCCAGAATGTCAAATGTGTTTATTGTAATAGTTCTATTTTATTTATTTTTAATATATATGTGGTTACATTTTCTACCTTACATCGTTCATTTCTATTGTGTGATATTTAGCATTTTAAGACTGTAATAATTTTTTTTAAGCAGTTGGATGTTTTTTGTCTTTAACGTGTTTCTTTTTCTTCCACTCCTTCCTGATGTTACTATATTACATTTGGAGAAACAGTTTTCAGTCTATCAGGTTTTTCTTTTCTTGTAACAGTTTTACACATTTTATTACATTGATATAGTCCAAATAAAAGTTTGTTGGTGAAACTATAACGTTGTATTCATGTTCTGTTGAATTCACTGTGGTCCCTGTTCTTTGAGGAGCTAAGCAATTACAGGAAATAGAAAGTACTCGGCACCTACCAGGCTTGCACCCTACTCTTAAATTATTTGGGTTTTTCTAAGAAGTCGATCTATCTGTGGAAAACACAGACCAACTTCCACTTACTAAATAACCCTGCTTTGTGGGTGAACAAACTAATCACCTTACACAAAGTGCTGAGCTGTATTTTCAAAGAATTAAACTCCCTGGGGCAGATCCTTCACTGTTGACATCATGGGGGTATTAGAGTAGAGGACTTTGGCTGAGAGGCAATGTGGTATAGTGGACAGAGCACTTGGCTGTGATGCAGGAAACCTGGCTTCTATGCTTGGCTCTGCCAGTGTCCTGCTGTGACCTTGGGCAATTCACTTTGTCTATCTTGGCCATTTAGACTGTAAGCATTTGGGGACAGGGACTCTCCTACTATCTGTGTATACAGTGCCTCAGCCCTGATCTTGGTTGGGGCCTCTAGGCCATACCATAATACTAGTAATAAATAATAATTCTAGCGGCACCTTAATTATTGTTAAGGTTGAGTTGTTTTGTTCTTAAAGCAGGGATTCAACCTTTTAGTTATGTAGTATGACAAATACAGTGTATTCTCTCCAAAGATACATTTACTGAGTACTGAATGAATTTTTTTGAATACTTACAAGTAAATCTCTCAGAATAATTTTTTTAAATGGATCCTTTATGAAACTCAGCATTCAATGTCAGATTTTTTGTCCCAAAAGCTCACAGTTAGGCCACTATCGGACTACACAAGAGTGGCAGATTCATGAAGCTTGAATACATTTTGTGCAAGGGGTCATTTAAAAAAAAGGATTAATTGGCTTTTTTCCATTATTCATCATAACTTGAAGTTTCTCCTTCAGCAGAGGCAGAAGAAGTCTCTTTCAGAGCATCTCAAAATGGCTGCTCTCTCCCATTGTTCTCAATGGCACTAAGGCCACTGGCTGCCCCTATCAGAGATGGCTGCTGCAGGAGAATGGAGTGGGATGCAGGAGGCAGGTGCTGTTTGGGGAAAGGTGTTATGGCAATTTCACTGTTAACTCCTCCTCCTCCTTTAAGGTCTTAACATCTTTTAAAATGTATTTCAAAATTTGCCGGGGGATGGCCAGCCGAACCTCCCATTGTAACTTATTTTTACATCCTTACAGATTCCCTATCCTGGTCCAGTCTAACTCTTGGAATTTATAGGAATAGGGGCTCCACAACAGACATGTTCATAAGTACCACCACACACACACACACACAGCACAGGCTGTGGACCTGCTTGGGGCCATGAACCAATTTTGTGTACTTTTCTTCTTTTGTCCTTATTTTCTTCCCAAAGGTACATCCTGTAACTGCCATATTGCTGTTGTAACACCAAGAGCTATTGCAACAGCCACCAAAACTAGAGAGTTCCTCTCCTCCTATTGTGATCTGCTTCAACCACTGCAGTGGTAATATTTTCATTGTTAGACAATACATTTCAAGTTAAGCATGTGCTTCAGTGCTGTGCTGGCTCTGCCACCACATCCTCTTGGTATGTGCCTGAAACAAGAAGTAACTGACTTTTCTGGAGGTGGGAAGGCGTTCTGGTTGCCATTGTTCTGGTAGGTATTAATTTCATTACTGCCCCTCAGAGGAATTACTCAGAAATATGGTGTGCTTTAATGTACAGTCTCATCAAGTGAAAGTGTTTCAAGTACTTTTTTTTTCAGGATTTCCCT